TTTCATTTTGGGTCGATCATTTATTTTCTCGTCGTTCGTCTTTCTCATCAAGGGCTGAAAAATTAATTTTTGACTGGTGATAGCATTTTCACAAACATTGATCACAAATGCCCGTTGAATGAGTTTAGGAACCTGAGAATTAAATAACACCATACAAATTATCAATAGTAACGAAAAATGAAATAATATTCTCTGAATTTTTTTCTCGAACTGATCTATCAGCCCGCTATTTGTATTTTTATTACTATGTATGATAATGTGAAGTACGGCATAAAATTTATTCGTATACAACGCACAGTCTCAGCGGACTAGAAGAGTGTGTTAAGTTGAATGGAGTGTATAGTGATGATAAATAAACATGCTTTAAAAAACAAACGTTCATTAAGGACGAATTAAATACAACGTTAGAGAATATGATCGTGTTAAACAACATGTATTTGTTGCTACAATGAAACGTAGCAAAATTAAATAGATAATACCTCCAATAGAGCAACTGTTAGGGCAATCCATTGTAACGTGTAGAAGTAATGATTTAATAATAATTTAAAACATATTTTTACTTAGGATCTGTTCGAACCAAGGCTGATTCCCGTATTTCTCTCTATTCTTAGCGCACCATTGTCCAGCTAAATCCAAATCAAAGTTCTTAACAAATGAACAGGCAATAACACTTAATTCGTGGTTTTCCTTGTCTAAAAACGTTTTTATCTCATCAAATATACTCTGCACGCTTTCGTGCATTCCAAAGTTCTTGTATCCCAACGTACAAATAACGCCCATATAGAACAATAGAATGGGCCTGCTACTTTCAACAAACTGAGGATAAAGTGTTTGAACAGTGAAGATGTTGTATGTCCAGTTCCAGTCCATGAACGAGCAGATAATTCTCAAGGATGCCGTCTTGAAATGAGAAAATTCGTTGTCAGCCAAAATAGTACTACACAGACCATTTACATCAAACGGCTCAAAAAGATCCATTTCATCCTGTATTTTAGAAACGATGTCTGTACTATCATTGGTTCTCTTCATAATAAGTACTTGATAGCTGAGCAGCATTCTTATCGTTTTTGAGAGAATATCAATCTCAATTTTTTGCCGTGCAGCAGGGCATACGAGAAATAAATCACTCGTTCAAAATCATCTACGAAAACAAACAAGTCATGCACAATCATACACAAGGCATCATAACTCTGTGCACATCCCAGGTTAAACAGAAGTGTCCATGTTTTCTCTACCTCCCTAGTATTAATGTCTTTGAATATATGTTTGAGAATGCCTTTTATGTTAGTTTTAATGTATATTAAATGCAGTTTAGACAGTTTGTAGTCGTCTTTTGCATCGTAAACGTATGGAACGAAGAGAGAACATGTATACTCTACGTATTCATCCAGCTTAAAATTCAATCTGAATGATTTATCTTCTTTTGTTCTATTGTTTCTTTCAAGCACGGAATAGGTTGCAATAGATTCGGGATGTGCGGCCGCAATCATATCGATATCTGGCTTTTTGTCACCACCCGTCTCCTCTATCTCAGCCTCCATAACTTGCTCTGCCACGCTGTCAGCCCTCGAGTCTATCGGTACGCTCAAATTATTTTCTATTTTCATTTCTAAACCATTTTTTCTTTTTTTATATTTTTTTCGCTGCAGCGTGTGCAGCAAAGATTTTATTATTATCTTTTTATATTTCAATTTTTTTGTTAATGATTTTATTTTATTTTCATATTTTTTTATTTTATCATCAGTGTGTACCATAATTTTAAAGTGCAATATTTAATTAATGAAGGGCTCGAAATTTTGATTTTTGGAGAAAATCAAAATGGTAATTCCTGTGATAAAACAATAAAAGTGGTGAATAAAGCAAAAGAAATAGAAAATGCACGAGATAAATTTCTGTCTTTGTTTGTTGATAAGGAATTATCCAGGTTGACGGGACAAGGTCGCATATTACGAAGTAAAAAATTGCAAATGAAATATTTTCATGAAAATAAGTCTAGTTGCTCATTTAATCACCATACAACCTTTTTCGTCTCTTAAAACCGAGCGTGGTTGTAAAAATTAAATTTATTGCTAATGGCGGTAAATTCATCAATACGGAGAGCTTATTGTGAACTTGTTCGAATGTTTATATAATGAACTATAAACTTATTTTTTTATTAAAAGTTAGTTTAATTATCTTCTTAATACACACTACCTAATCAAATACGCTCTTCTGGTCCGCCGAGACCGACCAAACTATAAACTTATGCTAATAAATTAAATTATCAACATTTAAATCTGTGAAATATCGTTTATACAGCATCAAAAATACAATTCTCATTTTTTGCACCTGAAAAATTTATACGGCATGTAAAAAACTATTAAACTACTGACATTATATCTTTATTCAACACATACACACCTATTATCAATGTTTTTTTGGATTACTCAATTATTAGAAAGCGGCTGGTTTTCTATTCTTGCTGTTTCTCTCTAATGGAACAATATTTCGTATATATTGATCAAATCTTTTTTATTTGAGATTCTTTTCACATATATATTTTTTTCAGTCCGTAGTTAATCGTTTTATCCCTACAACTTCGTTTTTTTATACAACTGCACTTGTTTAGTCCAACCAAATTAGTATAACGTATAAACATCTGTCTGATTGCTCAAAATAAATTATAACCTTTAGCATTC